AAGAAAAAGAATTGTGTGTATATAATCTTTCATACTCTGTCATTGGCCGGAAAAATAGCAAGAGCGTCGTACACAAACGAGAAACGTATCGATAAAGATGAAATACAGAAAATGAGATAATTTGGAGACGTAACAGAGTAGGTGCGCCAATTATATAACGACCGATTTCTTGCACTTTTATCGTTATATTGTTATGTCTACTGTTTACGATATTAATTTCCGTTACTCTAGTCTCTACGAGTGAAGGCATTTTGCACGAAGTCCCGGACTCGAGGGTCCCCGTCAAAATCAAAGTGCGATCTTTCGTGGCGTTCGTCGGAGAAATTGGAACACGGATGGAAGTAGGAGGTACGTGTCGTTGGCCGCTCGACCCAACCTGCCCAGTGACAATATAATATAAATATACGGAAATATATACCCACGGTAGCTCGCGAAAGCTGTTCGAGTCGGCGACACGAGTGAGTCCCGGATGTGAACGACAGCCTCCGAACATTTGCGCGAGCTGCTGTACGTATATATTATACACGTATACGTAATAAATGTATGCGATTAATGACAATGATATATGATAGTAATAATATAAGATTAATTAACGAGATATAAGAATAATAAATATAACAAGATATATATGTATATATAGATATATATATGTGTATATATATAGATATATGTATATAGGCCATGTCACCGCATGCTAATTGCTAAGGACCAACCTTTGTAGCGCTTGGTATAAAACGCGGTTTTAGTAACCAGACTGGGTTCGTTCGACACTCACCAAGGAGTGACCGGGCGCCCTGCAAACGCACCGTTAAAAAAACGTGAACGCACAAGACACGCTGTGTCGTGAAATTGAAATCTGGTGTACGCTTGAAAAATCTTGAGAGCGTGCTAACAGTTATACCGGACAGTGGTCGTGATTCTTTTCGCTTCTATCTCTTTCTTACACACACACACGCACGCGCACACGCACACACACACTCTCTCTCTCTCTTTCTCTCTCTCTCTATTTGTTTCTTTTAAAGATAATAATTTCACGCACACGTCATTAAATTTCTGACTCCTGCCCTCTCCCGATCCGTTTTATCACTCTCGTTATCTTTTCTTACAGCACGTTTAATTATAACTTCTCTCGAACAACAAAGTCAACTGTCACGGCGAATATAATTTGACGCAAGTAGAGATAAAACTGTCGATTATCGTTCAAAAAGTACTTAGCTTCCACTTTCTTCTTCCGTCTTATTTTTTTCCCGTGTAAGATAGGATACTTTATCGAATATCAACCGCGCGAAACTAGGTAGGGGTAATAGATGAAAGTTGCGTTCACGCAGTCATGTACAAGGATATGACTTGGATTTCCGATGGAATCTTGGTTCATCGATGAGAAATGACGAAACAAAAGCAATTTTTCAATATACCACGCATGAAGTAGCGTCTTATCATGATGCGCGGTTTGAGTAACCTCTGCACCTGGCAGAATTGAAATTAAGCCTTTAATACTGTACTAAATATAACATATGTATCACACATAGTACTCAATCAATTTTCAACAAAGAGTTGAAAAACTCTAGACCATAAAAGTATTTCCACAAGCAACAAATTCGGTTAAGAAAAGAAAGAGACTGAAAATTAGCATACAGAATTTAACGCAAGCGTTCAAGAGTCATCATAAGAAGAATGAGAAAAGAAGAAACAAGATATTCCATCGGAAATTCGGTTTCTGCATCCCGACGCGACGGACTCGCGTCTGTTATAAGCGGCTGTGGATTCTCGCGAGCGAGAGAGGCTCAAAGAGACGCTCGCTTTCGCATCAAGATGCAAAACAGCCGCAGAGAACGCTCAGTAATCGGCGGAGAGTGATATTTCGAAGGAAGGAGTATCCTCGTAATGTCCACTACGGCCGAGGGAGAGATAAACAGACGAGGGAATTGGCGGCGATGGCATAAAGGAAGGGCCGCGGAGATTTTGCGGAGCTCAAACCCGTAGAGACTTACCTGGTGGCATGCCCATGGGGGGCGGTCGCATCATGTTACCTCCATGAATGAGAGCAGGCGCGGCTAATGTCATCGTGTGTCGCATAAGTGGTGCCATTAAGGCGACTGAGTTCACAGGCATCGCGGCCGCCGAGGCCGGCACCATCACCTGCGGCGGCCTCGGAAACCTCTGTTGCTGTTGCTGTTGCAACGCGCTCAGCGCAACCGCCTGCTGCCGCTGCTGCTGATCCTGAAACGCGGCGGCCGCGTTCGCAGCAGCCGCTTGCTGTTGCTGCTGTTGCTGCTGCGCTTGCTGTTGCTGCTGCTGTTGCTGTGCTTGCTGCAGCGCGGCAACCTGCTGCTGTTGCTGTTGGCTTGCTTCTGACGGCACCGATCGCGGCTCATCGGCACGACGTTGGTATTTCGGCAGCTTCGCTCTGATTTCTTCCTGCAAGACACACCGACCGACATGTACATGTTAGAACAGGCCACATATATCGATCGAAAGAAAAACTTCGGTATACTAATTGCCAAATGATGTACTAATAGTATATCAAAAATAATAAAATAATATAGGATATATTAACTTATAGTATAATAATTATAATAATTATATAATATCCATATAGTATACCAACTGTGTATGATGGTGTAATATTTATATAGTAACTATGTAGTGTAATACTATATAGTAATCATACAATATACTAAACGGGATACTAATTACTAAATAATAATTAAAAAATTGAATGATTTATTTTATTTAAGAAATTTTCTCTTTATCAAGCTGAAATATCAATTCTTAGTAAGGAAATAACTAAGTCAGCTCAAAAAAAAAATAAAAAACCAGAATTAGATCTCCAATAGATCCCGATGATATACCGGGAATACAAATGCGTGGACTCACCAAACTGAGATCTTCCGGAGGATGAATGATTTTACTGGCAGCCCCGGTGGTCGCAATTAAATTCACCTTTTGATCGCCACCGAGGTTGTTGGATGTGTTACCAGTGGTCTCGGCTGTGCTGTAAGCGGGGAATGTCGGCTTCACCGGCCCTATCGAGCCGCCCGCCACCGACGTGATCGGTTTGAAATCTGTTCCAAGAGGCGCGGACGTGACCGCCGTCGACGCCGCCGTCGAGACGGCCGCGGCGCTCGGGAAGAGCGGACGCGTCGGCGGAATCGACGCGCCCGACACTGGCGGCTGCATGCCGGATGGCATACCAGCCATGCCGGACATCATACTGAAAAAGAAACATAACGACATATATATTAAAATATCCTGAAGTATAAAAAGATATAAAACAAATATATAATACAAAAATTACACAATATAAAATAATGTAAGACCAATATAAAAACAATATAAAATAATATAAAACGTGTTTCTCTCGACACACACGTATAGATAATTAATCCTTATGGTTTAATGTGGGGCGATTTTTAATATTTGAATTAAAATTTTTTTATATATATTAAATTTTATATATATATATATATATATATATATATATATATATAGATATAGATATAAACATAATATAATATAATAAGAAATTACGCAAAAACGTATATCATAATAAAAAAATTTAAATATAAAACAAAATGTCTATTATTAGTAGCATGAATTTCAAAGTTTTACTAACACAATATTAAAAATATATATGACATATATTTGTGCATTTATTTTTTATTTAAAAAATTTTTTAAGTTTTTATATTGAAATTTTTTTTCTTTATTAATTCTTGCGAGAAAAGTGGATAATAATAATGATAATAATAAAAATTGCAGTTGTATTTCACAAAATTGCTATTACGTCATTATAATGGCTTCCTGGATTGTAAGGGTTCACAAACACACACCTTGAGCTCATGAACGGTGGGCCCACGTGGCCCATCGGCATCATGGGATGCATAGGCGGCATTCCAGGATGCGGCGGTAGACCAGGATGTGGTGCCATACCGGGATGCGCCATACCAGGCGGCATCGGTGGCAAAGCAGGCTGTGGTGTCATCCCAGGTATCCCAGCCATCCCCGGCATCGCTGGCGCGGAGCCCAGCAAACCCTCCGGTTTTGCTTTCTTCGTCACCGGCTCATCCTCGCCAGAACTGGGCGAACCTGGTCTACCACCGTTCCTCTGTCTCTCGTGTTCCTTTGCATCGTTTGGAGGTATACCTTCCATTCCATATATTTCTATCTCGATGTCGCTACGATTCGGTAAAGAATTTGGAACCTTGTCTATCGTCTCCTTGTGCACCTACAATAACAGGGATAATAAAGGAAAAATTAGTCTGATAATTGTGACTTTACACTAGTCTTGTGTGTAACATCAGTAATGTCTAGTTTATAACATATTAGTCAATTATGTAGCTATTAGCTACTAGGCATCTATTCAGTACTCAAACTTGCAGATACAACTTGGATACTTGGATATTGCTCAAAATAATAGGATATTTGAGCAGTTGGAACAAAAAAACCGAATTAATACTAATTCCAACTAATACAGATCTATCATTGGTTTACTTTTGCAATAACTGATTTTGTAGCAGCTAATTTTACTTGTTATTTTTGTTGACATGCATATATCCTAATCATGATATTCAAGTATCTGGGTAATTTCCACAATAATTGAGTACCCTAAGATATATCAGAAAGATTTGAATGCTACTCAGATACAACAGAATCAATCGTATTACCTGCATGCAGTGTATGCTAAGTCCTGGTCCCGTGTACAATTTTTTGTGACAGATGTGACACTTAAAATGTTTTGCCTTCTGATGTTGAATGAGAATTTTTTCATCTTCAAATTCTCGATTGCAGTACCTTGATAAAAATTAAGGAATTTTCCATATGAAAAGTTTGTGTTATAAGTAGTATTTTTGTGTACATCGTCAAGCCAAAGCTATAGAGTAAATAATGTCAGAGGTAACAGTTAAAAATACAGAATCCATTGATGGAAACTAATGAAAAGCGAATTAAAGAAAGCAATCTCTTCTTTTTTTCATATAAAAAACAAAATTTTTTGCAATTGCTTGTTGCTAGAACGCAAATAAATTATTGGCTGGCCAGGCATAGCTCGAGAGATCGAGCTCGGAATTGGAGGAATACTTATAATTTCGCGGGAGCTGTTAGAAAATCGATTTTCCCGGATTTATTTCCGCGACGAAGCCTTTCCACATAGGCCAGCTTCCGTTACATCATAGTGTAATGCGTCGTATGCGTCGATGGAGAGAAACAGCTGCGTTCACACGTACATACACACACACAGATGCACGTGTGGCGCGGTGGCGCGAGGAGATCGCGTATATCGATTTCCCCGCCTTCGCCACGAGCAACACTCGCATGCCTCCTCCTCATCGAGCGCAATTTCGCAATTTTTCCCGAGGGAATCGATCGTTTCACTTTCCCGTACGCGGATCATCGCCGTACGGTCGGTCTTGATCGTGCCTCTCGAAACTGCATCACCACGAAAGCGCACGATCTAAAAATACGGTTACGTAAAAGCGACGACTGCTTGTGTCGTCGTTGTCGTCGTCGTCGTCACCATCGTCACCGTCATTCTCAGAGTTCTTGTGCGAAGCGGAAGAAAAGGATACCAGCACCAAGGTCTTGACTGCTTCTTCTTCTTACGGCCCATTTTACCGTCGTCGTCGGGGTTATCACACGATGCGACTTATCACCAACAATCAATCCTTCGACTCGACGACGTGACGCGCTCAAGGTGTACGCGAGGAACTTCCTAGTCACACTATACACACACACGCATACATGCACGAAAACTCGCGATGCTAACGCCGATAATCCAAAATGGCCACCGCATCCTTCTCGCTGCTGACGAGTGCGTCACCAACGTAGCGCGTCTTTAGATTCCTAGACCTCGTGTAGTGGAATCCTCTCCTCGCGCAAAAATTCCCCAGTAGATAGCGCGCGATCTTCAAACGTAAAACGTATCAGTCAAACTCGAGTTCCACAAATATAACGCACAAATGATCTTTGTAGGATGCTTTATAGTTATCGTTACAATTGTATCGTTAATTATGTTAACAATATTAATTTGATTTCTTTTTCTGGTTCTCCGGTACTTTTCGGATTTTAAATAAAACTGTCAATATAAACAGAACAATTTCTAGAGTCATTTCTAGGATAATTCAACACTCCCGTTATTCAGCTCCCAGATATCGTATAAAATAATCGGATACCTAATTCGATCCGTAATTTAAGAAACGAGGCAATAACTAGTAGCTAACCTAATCCACTGATACCTTTGTACCCAGATATTGACATTATTAATTGAAAATAGATATGTCTATACACTTTAGAGAAAAAGAATGAATACAAAATACACAAAATGTAACTAATATGCAAGCAAACAATATAATAATTTTGTAGTGAAGGAAAAACCACACTGTACATCTCTTGAACTTTTAGTTATAACAGTCTTATGATTTCTGAATATCTCAAAGCAAAATATATTATATTAATTACACTGGTTAGCGAATGCTTAGTGATTAAAAACACAATTGCTATTAAACTTTTACATTATATGAAACATTGTTAGATTCTATCACAAATATGTTATAAAGACATTTACAAATAATAACTGTTCCTCGACAGTGTCGCAGATATATATATACATATACAATGTATATATCTCTAAATATGTTTTACATATAAAGATATAAATCTTATGTATAGTACTCAAGATTAATAGATAAATCGACTTCAAATATATTAATATTTACAATAAAATCTGTGGCACTATCATAATAATATAAAATCTAAAAGTGATCTAGAAATAGAAAAAAAGAGGAACAATCGCAAATTATTATTCTAGAATTAAATTGCAATAAGAATTGTAGCATTTCTTTAACCATATTTATGATGCAATCATGGTTGGAAGAATATAATCACAAGACTACTCATCAGATTAAAAACGCGATATACTCCACTGTGTTGTCCTCTGAAATTTCATATTTCTACGTCACAATATTGCAATTCATCATGATAATAATCGTAAGAAAAAAATGAATAAATATAAAAATACCAAATTAAGTTAGCAATGATCACGTGGCTCGCGTAAATTTTTCACGTAACAGAGTTTTCTTGAAAAACAGATGGGATCTTTTCACAATTATCGAAGAAACTATCGTTAGCTGAAGGAAATTCTTTGTTCCAACACCAAATTTCTCTCGAAGTTACTGGACTCGTAGAACCATTGGTACACGCGGCTTCGTCGTCAGAAAACGACATGTATTCCTGCTTGATCTCTTTTATTTCCTGCTTTACTTCCTGTTTCATTTCTAGTTTTATTTCCTTTGCTTCCACATTCTGCAGTTTGTTTTGTTAAAGTTATGTTAAATTGTAGTATATTTTGACATCATAAAATCATTAAAATTAAAATAAAATCTCAACTTACCTTCCATCTACACCTTCTCTGCCTCTTAGGATTTTTCAATCGTACATGTTTATTAGTTGTGGTTTCCACTTTAATATCAAACTCTTTTTTTATTATATTATGTTTCTGCTCCTCAGCGATGATGTACAAGTCACTTGGATTATGATATCTGTTATGAACAGCATAGGCCTTTCTGTTACAAAATACAGCTGAGCATACTGTACACTTGATCACATCTGCTGGCAGGGGCACATCATCATTCTGTACCAAAACATAAAATATGCAACTTTATATTCAATATTTTGAGTTACAAATTATTATACTTACTTGCATGTGTATTCTCTTCAGATGTCGCTGTAGATTGTATTTTCTAAGATACTCAATGCCACATAAATGACAATAGTACATGTTTATCATGTTATTCATGGAGTTTATTTTAACCTTGTTATTGGGAGGAGAAGTGGTTAAAGGTTGAAGCAAATGCGCCATTCTGAAAAATATAACTAGTCAAGTAACAATTAAATAAGTATTAAAAGAAATGTTTAATGGACCTTACGTTTGGTGAACACAACGATAATGATATTTCAGAGCCTTCTCATTGTAAAATAACACATTACATTCTTTGCACTTTCTATGATCTTCCTTTCTTTCACTTTCAGATATATCATGTGAAAGTTGGTGATTGTCTCTATGAGTCTGAAAAATCAAGCATTATATAAAATTATTGCTAATCTAAAGAAATGGAAGAACAAGATATCAGACTCCATGTACCTTTACAGGAAACAGCTTTCCACAATAGTGACAGTAAAATTTTATTGGTGCATTAGGATGTACTTTGAACCTATGGTTTATTGCTGTACTTGTCTTATTAAATGTTATTAGACATATGTCACATTGAGTAATATAGGTCATGTCATCCCTATTAAGTGGCCTTCCTTGCAAGTCTAACTCCTTTCCATGTTTTCTACAAGAAATATAAAATATTCCATATTTTATATCAAAGTTCTTATAATATAAAAAATAAAGTTAAAGCTATTCTGTATTATATTTTTTATATTGTATATCAATATGGTACATAGATCCATTAAAGTATTGCGACAATAACGTCGCGAAATGATAATTAATTAGCTTTGATTGACAATTTAAAGATCCGTAATCTTGGTTATGATACATACCTGAAGTGTTCCTGCAACACACTTTTAGATTTAAACTTCGCATTGCACAGAACGCATATATGCTGGTCTGGGGCACTCATTTAGTCCCTCGAGTTCACATGAAGTGATAGAAGATATCTAAAAGTTTTAATATATTAATTTTAAACAAAAATGTCAGAACGCGCGAACAATTATGGCAATAAAATATAACGCGAAATCGACCATTGACATGAGGAATTGTACATTGTCGTTTACGTTGTTCGTTGTCATTAACAAATCAGAACTTTATTTGCACATGAAAGAAATAGTTTTCATGTACGTAATGATAAATACTAATCGAAATGAGAAGAAAAATAAATTGTTTTATTAGATACCGAGTCTATATTAGAACCGAGATAAGACATATGATGTCAACAGAGGAGCAACTTTTCAAGAGCATTTGAAAGGTTTGCAGGAATCAATGTGGTGACCTCTGGTGGAGAGTGTCGTAAAATAGGTAAAGACGTTTTCCGTTTTTCAAGTAAATTGACCAACCACAATCGGACTGCATACAGAAACTCGAGTATTCTCTCTCTCTTTTTATCTCACTCTTATAATTTGCTCACTCCAACGGCTATCGTCTAGTAGTGTACACACAATATGTGTTTCCGAACGCAGCATCGATTAGTCTTGAAAATAATAAACTATTATATTTTATGTTTAAAATATCTGCCAACAATTTTTAGATTTTACTTAAAAAGTAAAATGAAGGTAAATGTAAAAGATACGGAGAACACCTATAAGCAATAAATTAAAGTTTATTCTTTGATCCATATAACTTATTTTGCTGCTATTCCAAATTTCCATATTTTACAAATTATATTTGCCGCTACGGCTGCTTCCGATTTTTGACAAAACATGGCGTCACCGATCTAACTTCAAGATGTTATTTCGGGATTTAAGGATCTGATTCAAGGATCTCTAGTATACGTAACATGAATTATAGATTTTCAGTACTGACAGTGAATTTCGGAACACAGCCGATGTGTGGGTTTTAAATTTAATAATGGTAGATTCACACTGTACATGATTAATGTGTACTTTTCCCGATACAGTTCAGAATAGGGATGGGCAAAAAGAATCGATGTTTAGAAAACACCGATGTTCGCTTATTGAGGATAGTATTACATGTATAGAAAATGTTAGGGTTTCTAGAAATTCTCTATCCGACAGCCAATCGGTGCACAACTTTCTATATGTAATACCATCTTTAATAAGCGAATATCGATGTTTTCTAAACATCGATTCTTTTTGCCTATCCCTAGTTCAGAACAGTGCTGCGAGATCGGGAAACTTTTAGTGCGTTCGTTTACGCGCTTAAGCATCATTCTATCTTTACCGTTCATTACCTGCGGGAAAAAGATAGAATAATGTTTACAGCGCAAAGCGCCTAAAGCGAACGCACCAAAAATTTCCCGATCTCGCAGCACTGGTTCAGAATGCAGTCAATGGTCAATGATGGAATTGAATGGAACTTACAGAGTAGTAGGCTCTTCTCTTTACTCAATTTAAGAAAAACAAGAAAAGTATAATTTTAATGCAATCCCAGTGCAAATAAAAAGAATAGATTTACTTGTGTACACATTCATTTTTTAAACTGCAAGAGATTGTATGCAGCTACTAAATAGACTGGTTGTTTGACAAAAAGGTAATTAGATTATAACTTACTCTAATTCATCCCAATTTATGATCCAAGTAAACCAAACAATCGCAAAACGATTGTTATCGAAAAGCGATATTTACTACTTATATACATTTACTTGTGCATGTGTTACAGGAAAAAATTTATCTTGCATCAAAAGAGATACTCAATAGTATTTTTAAAGAGGTAATAATCTGAAACAATAGAAAAAGAAGAAAAGAAACAATTATTTATTAATCTTTACATAAAGCTTGTGTTTTTCTGAGCAGCACTGAGTTCAATATTTGTTCAAATCCACGAGAACAATCATGACTGCTCCCATCAGCACTGCTGTAGACAATCTCACTGCTGCAATTAAATCCAATATAATCCCCAATCAAGAATACCTACTGCAGGGCTCTGTACTGGACAGTTGTGTAGAAGTACTGTTGCACAGATTGGGTGGTCTTTGTGATAATGTTGATGTTGGACATGAGCAATTTGATGATCATGAGATGTGTTTTAGCATTCGCAAGTACGTATAAGTGTTATAACTATCCATTTAATATTTTCCTTTTTATTAACTTAAGAATTTAACCTTGTTTTAGATTATTTATATGCTTTGGGAGTACTTAGGAGTCCAAGCTTGCTTTGGATAATTTAAAACAATGTTTAATGCTCATCTCTCTTTTATTAAAAATATTTTTTATTTTTCTAGAGGTACACCACCAGAGCAGCCATTACTCCTGCGTGTCCGACGTGCATTGGACCAAAATCATGCAGATATGCCATGGCAGCTACGATATATTGGTCAGCCAGAGATAGGTGATAAGTCACGACCAACAATTGTTCGTAGCAGCATTGATATAGCCACCAGCAATACTGTGGTAGAGTTCTTGACTGAGCTGGGCTGTAAACTGGACTTTGAATACATAGCACGTGGTTATATGTTCCGCAAGGGTCGTATGAAAGTTACTGTAACAAAGATCTTCAAGATGAATCAGGGTAAGATGGAAGGTGGCGGCATGGAGCCGATATCACAGAGTTACTTAGTGGAGCTCAGTGTGCTAGCACCTACCGGACAGGATGCCATCGCGGAGGACATGAGGATGTTCGCGGAGCAACTGCGACCGTTAGTGCAGCTCGAAAAATTAGATTACAAGAGATTGGGCCATTAAATATACATTTCTAATTATCATACAGTGAAACATGGATTATATCATAATTCTCACTGGATATCAAAGGTATTGTTAAACTTTAGAAATATTTATAGGTAGAACTTAAATGTATATAAAAGTCGCGTACATAATATATTTATAACTCTAACTAAAATAAAATTCTGAAACTCACTCCACAAAAACTCGATCGTATATAGAAAGAAGTAACGTTTTCAAATTGTAAAATAGGGAATTTTTGCAAACATGTGGTATAAAGTTACACAATAAAATGGGACGATTTGATTGACTTAATGAGGGCGACACGGAAGCGTCCTAATTGACCACGGTACGATTGGACACAACCAACCGATGAAAAGAATTATCTAATGAATTACTAGATCGAACCAATCATTACAATCTGTGGTCAATCGGGTCTCACCTGGGCGACACGACGCGTGACGCGCTAAGTAGGAACGCACCCTAAGCTTGCCAGTCTAGAGTGCTTACGATAGTGAGTTCGGAACTTTGACTATAACCATGAACTGCTAGCCACCAACTTGCGTCTGCAGCAAAATGTATAACTTTTTTTTAATGTAATAATTTATTTGAAGAAAAAATAAAAAAGTGTTATTAACGATTAAAGAAATATATTTTTTTATGTATTTTAATGATAACTGCAATTTATGATCACGGGCACACAAAATATCTTTTACATGGTAAAATAGAAATTATAAGTATGTGATAGTTTACGTAATAGCCGTTGTTTGGTTCGGGACGCTCCCATCCGAGTACTCTCTCTTTCTTTTTATCTCACTCTCGTATTTCTGTCATTCTAAGAGCTATTTCTAGGTGCTATTTCACGTGTCGTATGACAAGTTTTTCATATACGTTTATTGGTTGGCGAATAGAATATTTTTAGGTTCTCTATTCGTCAACTAATGAATGTATTCAAAAAGCTTGTCGTACGACACGTGAAATAGCACCCTAACGCTGCGTTTCATGCGCATCATGCGTGGAAACGGAACGCACCCTATGTATACTGAGTGCTTTCCAGTTGCGTACACTGTGTACACAAAACCAGTTTATTAGGTCTGTTCTTTGTAGCTGCACTGCTGAATTGGTGCAATATATTGAAGTGAGACAAATATATGTTTTCTCACTCTAACTTATTGCACTAGTTCAGTAGTGCAGCTATAAAGAACAGGCCTATTGATTGCATATTATCTTACAAGATATTTTAGATAATATGTGACCAATAAACTAGTCTTGTGTACGTGTGTGTTATACCAGCGGCACACGATGCTTGTTTTCATGCTGGATTACTTGCTAGATGGAAATACTCTGTTCTGATTGGTGCATTTCTGAAAACGGACCAATTAGAATAGAATATTTCCATCCAGCAAGCAATCCAGTACGAAAACAAGCATCGTGTGCCGCTGGCTTTAAAATGTGTTAAGTAATTAAGTAATTAAGAAAAAGTGGATCCACTAATGTCGATATTCATAGTCCGATTTTATATTTAAGATCATCTTAAGTACGGTCTTAAGATGCATGAACCAATTACAGAGCAGTATTCGCATCTTAAGACATGCTTATATTCATGGTTTATTGCCAAGATGGCTGAGTTCAGTCAAGCTCTCTCATTGGCCAATAATAAAGACTGCGTTCCGAAATTTATTGCCAGTACTGAAATTCTATAATATACGTAAAGCCAGAATCAGACTACGCATTGGAGATTGAGGATTGCGGATTGTAGATTAGATTTTGTCGAATTAACTAACTTCGATTTTGGCTGACTTTGCTCCAATTGGTCAAATAGGGGTGTATATCAGTTGGACACGGGACAATTGGACACAGTCCAATCACAAGTCGCTGTTCCAAGGGACCCTACAAATGTTTCTAATCACACGGTGCTGTGATTGGCTGTGTCCAAATGCACCGTATTCAAGTGCACCGCTCCCGTTAAAAAGGCACTGGGAAACAATCGTTACGTGATTTGCGACATACCAGGGTTTAACATAACACAAAGGCCGCTTGACACGATTCTTTCGTGCGACCGACTATGGAACCAATAGAGGAAAAAAAAAAATCCGGTATGAAACACATCATATAATACGCGTAGATTTAACAAACAAGGTGATGGGTAGATGTAAAAGCGTTAGTTTTAAGTATAATTACCGGTAAGTGCGTGCGATGACAGACGACTGACGATTTCTCAAAGGAGTAACTGGGAAAAAGAAAGAAAGAGATATCACTCCGGAAAAGCGGATTGCTATAACTTCGAGTCGAAGTTAGGTCAGGAGGGCCGAGCTGAAAAATTACGAATAGGAGCGCCGCGTGGTGGCGCCAGCAGCCGGGAACGGTAGCGCTTTTCGACAATCGATTACGCGAGCAACCGATATCGATAGTAGAGTGGAGAGCGCGCGCAAGTTCGAGAGCACAAAGGACGCAGGATCGAAAACGAGATCGATTCGGGAAACATCGAGAAGCTTCTAGAAGATCCGGAAGAAAAAGCTAAAAAAGCGATTCGAGACGAGAGAAGACACACTCTCACGAGTGCGGGGAAATCGAGAAGTCGATTGAGAGAGTCGTCGAAAATTCGAATAAGAGTCGGAAGAGTCGTTAGATAATTGGCGGTATTTCGGTACGAAATCATAGTGTAAGTCGCGAGAAACGCTTTGTATAATTCCAGAACATAATAAATGTTTGGTGATTTGTCCAGAGACATTGGGATTCTCTCTTTATTAATATTCCCTGAAAGTCCTTAGTCCGGCAGTTCGAACCGTTGAAGGTCGTCGGGACGGTTAGGAATATTTACAACAAGAGAGGAAATCGGGTAGAAATTTTAACAAAGAGAATTAGTGGTAGATAAAACTAAGGAATTTTTCTTACACTATAGTGAAACTAACTCAACTCGACCCAACTCTGG